AATTTGATATTCCCGAGGGAAAACAAAAGTATTGGTATAGATGGCGCTGTATGTATTAGTATATCCTTACTATTATAAATGGGAAAGTGAGTTTGTTTGTTTGTTCCGACTTCACGCCGTAACTACTAAACCGATTGCATTGAATTTTTGCAGACGTAAAGTTAGTAGTCTGGATTAAATAATAGGGTACTTTATATCCAGAAAAAATTTGATATTCCCGAAGGAAAACAAAATTATTGGTATAGATGGCGCTGTATGTATTGGTATATGTCACATAGACTACTTTTTATCCTTTTGTGACGCGAGCGGAGCCGCGGGTAAAAGCTAGTAATATTATAAATTGGAAAGTGAGTTTGTTTGTTTAATTGTTTGTTCCGCTTTCACGCCGTAACTACTAAACCGATTGCTTTGATTTTTTGCAGACGTAAAGGTAGAAGTCCGGATTAAATAATAGGGTATTTTTTATCCCGGAAAAATTTGACATTTCCGAGGGAAAACAAAAGTATTTGTATAGATGGCGCTGTGTGTATTGGTATATGTCAAATAGGCTACTTTTTATCCTTTTGTGACGCGAGCGAAGCCGCGGGTAAAAGCTAGTTACTAATATTCTAAATGCGAAAGCTTGTGAGTTTGTGTGTTTGTGTGACTGTTTTTTACTCTAACACGTCGAAACTACTATACTGATCGGCATGCAATTTAACACAGGAATAGATTATGGTTTGGAATAACACTTAGGCTATTTTTTATACCATAGGAACGCGGGCGAAACCGCGGGCAGATGCTAGTAAATATATATATATCTCGTATCACTTACTTGTGCTGTTAGATACGCCGACAAAGCAATCTGTACAATGTTGTATAAGATGATGAGATTCTTCAAATTATACGGCTCCCGCTTGGCCATATACGCGGGACCCCATGATCTTACGAATCTGTGGTACAGGTACATTATTATTATGATGGGCAGGGGGCTCGATACCAGGGGGAAGCTGTTTGTCCGGGGATCTGAAAGAAAACAAACAAATTTTATTTTGTTAATAATAATTAGAACATTTACTTAGGTAAATAATGAAAATGTAGTATAATAATTGAAATGCCGCATAAAAAAGCACTAGGATGTCTATTTCAAAGACGCAGGTGGACTAAATTATTATTTGAGTTTTGGTTTTCAAAATAGGAAAATTTTTTTCTTTTTTTTTTTCTTTTTTTTTTTCATTCGCCAATAGCCATAAATTGAAATTAAGTATGTATCATCATCGGCGAGTAGAAGTCCACTTTTTGGGGCATACTCACTCGCATCTGAATCTGAGTAAAACATTGTATATATATATAAATTGTATATTACATTACATGGGAATCATAATGTAACTGTACCTACACAATGTAGATGCCACTTATAACGAGTGAATCTATGTAGGTTCTTATACTAAAATACAGTTTATCCAGAACAGGGTACCAGCATTAATCAATAGCTATAAAGAGACATTGATGAAATATTCATTGACCACAGACCTCACTGACCTGAAGGGAATTGTTTCACCTCCACGACATGCACCTAATTACGCATGCGTGAATATGAACTTATAAATGAACACGCGTACAACACATCACACATGCGTCTGGGTTTCAGTAAAATTAAAAAATTCATAAATATTATCCTGTAATAATTTTACATGACGAAATGTTACAATAACTAGTCAGATATATATATAATATGTGTATAATAAATAATATTTAAGAGCGCCATTATCGCCAACAAACTGGTAACAGTTTGGCGATTTTTGTATATTTAATAATAATGTATATATTTATGAGAACAAAAACAAATAAAAAAAAAATATTTGCTATGTTTAATACGTAAACGCCGTACAGTAGCAGCGTGACGCATCGTGTGTTGCGGAATGCTGCTCATGAATATGAGCCTCTAGCATGGCTTGAAATTAGTCGAGTTGCTCGTCAAATATTACTTTTAATTTATATATAAACTCGATGATCCAATTACCTAAGTACGTGTGTATAGTTAATTCAATGTACAGTTATGGGTAAGGTATTGAGATTAGGAAATAGAATGATTCCTATAGAACCTTTCCTCTAGACCTGTACTTACAAGATAATATTAAGCAAATAAATCTAGTGTAAATTGTAGGTACTTACCCGCAAGGTCATCATTGACGAAGTGATAATAATTCGTGATGTTCCCTATTAAAGTCCCCATCGTGCTCTCTCACTCTGAAACAGAGGATAAAATCACTACATAGTATAAAACAAAGTCGCTATCCGCCGTCTGTCTGTCCCTATGTATGCTTAGATCTTTAAAACTATGCAACGGATTTTGATTTTTTTTAATAGAAAGAGTGATTCCTAAGGAATGTTTATATTTGTATTGTATAGTACATGCAAATTACACCCGTGCGAAGCCGGGGCGGGTCGCTAGTAAGATATTTAACATAATTTATATGAATTCTAAATCTATTAACTCATATATTCCTTAAATATAAAAATTATTATTCTTATTTGTTATGGGATGCGCCTGTAAACGAGCAGACGCTTCACCTGACGAGACAATCGTCGCCCATGGACACCCGAAACACCAGAGGCGTTACAGGTGCGTTGGCAGTCCTTTGAGGGTTAGAAATTAGAGGGGAATTCGAGATTCGAGGCGGTAATTGGGATATTCGCATTCTTCTTCTCAAATCAGCATCTGGCCACTATTTCAAGTAACTTGGGATCGTGTGACTGAAGTTTTAAATTAAGTATTATGTAAGTACCTATATTCATCTCAGCTACGAGTTCATTTAAATATTAATTATGCTGATTATGTGTTTATTATTTACTAATTATTATTTTCGTTTGTTCTTAATGAAATACTATAAGTTTTACGCTACATAAACAAGGTCACTAAACATGCAAGGTCTGTGAACTCTTTCGTAGAAAAGTTCTAAAATATATTTGTTCAATGAATAAACAGATACACGGTTATTTATGTAAAAACGGGAACTCTGATGACCCTACAAACGAACTACTGAATCACAGAATAAAACCTCTTTAGTAAACTTTGCGTCTATACTCTATGGCCTATTTTATGTTTATTGAGTGACGCGGCAACTTGTAAATTACAGATAATTTATACAATACTTAAGGTCTATGTAAGTGTCACAATTTAAATATTAATGTAAACAGTAAATAAAAGGAAGAGGTTAATGATCCCTGATGATCGATGATGAGAAAGAGGTTAATCAGATTAGTTGATGATATCTAAAACTTAAGAGACAATACTTTGAAACATTATGGTATTCGATTTAATCATTACAATGAGTACATATTCTCTACGTAATTTTATTTAAACAAATATAATTTAGAACGTCTACAATATTATGTGTTTATGCTCGAAAAAAATTGTTTTTTTTTTTAATTTCAGAGTTAATTTATAGATTTAGACTGACTTCTAAGTTCTAACCTTTCTCATTACTATAGGTGTTTGAATGAACACATCTTATATACTGTATAAGTATACATATAATTGAAACGTGCCGCGGGTTCGATTCCCGCACGGAACAACAGTTTGTATGGATCCACAAATTGTTGTTTCGGGTCTGGGTGTCATGTGCATGTGAACTGGTATGTTTGTAAACGCACTCACGACACAGGAGATAATCCTAGTGTCCTAAAAAAATTAATCTATATATAGTTTTATCTTCGTCATGATTTTTAATACTACAATTATTCATCAACACATTTGCTATTAGTCCTATTGCCTATGTCAAGTTAGAATTGAATCAGGTACAGTAGTTTTGACAAGTTTTAAAATGTTAAAACCTGTAAAAATCTCTTATGAACCTGCTAAATATTTAACACA